AAGAGATATCAGTAAATCCCTTTGGATCCAATGTCTCAGGAAATTACAGACTTTGCAACACCCTGGGGCTCTACCACTTCAAGATGTTACTTTTCAGGCTACATGGTGCCCTGGCAACCTTTCAACGGTTAATGGACAAAGTACTCCACCCTCACTGGGCATATGTGATCACCTATTTAGATGCTTTTAGGTAATATTTACCAATACATAGGCAGACCACCTCCTGGGGTAAAAGAAGTGTTGCAGTAGATACAAGCAGCTAGTCTAATGGCTAACCTAAGAGTCACCTGGCGTACACAGAGACCAGGTACCTGGGATGGGAATGGGAAAATTGAGGCCCCTAGTCAACAAGGTAAAGGCCTTGGTGGAAGCACCAGTGCCAACAACTAAAAAGCAGGTGAAGTTGTTTCTGGGCTTGGCCATCTACTACTCACGCTTCATCCCATAATTTGTGACCATCACTGCTCTACTGGCTGACCTGCTGAGAAAGGGAGCACCACAGAAGATTCAGTGGTCACCCAAATGTGAGACGGCATTTGGGGCACGAAAATGGCTACAATGCAGTGTGCTGGTCCTGCACATCCTGTACTTAACAAAATAAATTATATTACAGACAGATGCCTTGGAGCAAAGCCTGGGGGCAGTGCTCTCTCGAGTTGAAGGATGGAGAAGATCCCATTCTGTACCTCAGTAGGAAACTCCTTCCCCCAGAGCAGAAGTGCACCCTCATAGAAAAGGAGTGCTTAGCAGCTAAGTGGGTACTTGAGGCCTTCTGCTACTACCTCCTAGAGGCCTGATTCCTGGTTCCATTTGGTCACTGACCACATGGCTTAATACCATGCGGGAGGCCAAACCTTGGTTGACAAGATGGTATCTTGTCTGTACAATCTTTTGATTTTATGATACAGCACTGCCCGTGCAGTGGCACATGCAAATCCGGACTGGGTCGGCAAATGCAAATCCGGACTACTTCTTCCAAGGTGGTGGTGGTGGGGGGGCAGGATTGAGAAAAGGGAAGACTCCACTTTTAGGAGGGGGGATGTATGATTAGGTGCATGGCTCAGGGGCAGGAGCACAGCTGTGAGCCCAGAGGAAGTTAAAAGCTCCCAGGGACAGGAGCTGGGGGAGAGAAAGAAGATGGCAGTGCTGAGGTGAGCCACAGTGTCCTCTCTCTGGGTCTGAGGAAGGACAGTAGCTGCAAGTTAAACAAGCAACCATACAATCAACAAAGGTTTAAGTACTTGCTTTGTTATGGACACTGTTTTCCTTTCAGGAACAAGTTTGCCTCCAGAAAAATAAAGAAGTAAACGAGATCGCTACAACCAGAGTAAAAGTAATTTTTATAATACTTAATAAATTAGGAGATCCCTCTAGAGTTTGTACTTGCCTGACAGTGAGAGGTTTCTAATGTAAAATCTTTAATGTCTAGCTTCAGGGCTTACCCATATAGTTTCTAATATTTCATAAATAAATAAAGGTGCATTTTGACTTATCTCACCTGCAAGGTTTGAAACAAAAATTATTCTTAGGAAGAAATGGATTTCTATGTCCTGCAAACTCCTGTTCTACTCAATTAATATATTCACCCACAAAAAACAAACATACTACCAGTTGCTTTAAAGATAGTAATGCTCCCAGTTTTGGCCCTGCAGGCCATATGAATGGCATGGGACTGGTCCACAGTCCAGAACAGGCCCTATGCCAAACCTGCCCAGCTGGGATTGGGTACAACCCCCATCCAACTGGGATTTGGGCTTCAGAGCCCTGAGCTGCCTTGCATGCCTGGTTTAGCACACAGGCCACAGATCTGTGGGGATCCCCACAGGCCAGATGGCACAGTGCCATTTTCTAACACAGGCTTGTCCAACATACAGCCCGTGGGCCGCCATGCGGCCCTCCAAGAAGTTTTCTGAGGCCCGAGGTGCTGCGATGCAGAGCAGAGGCCCCGGGTGGCGGGGCGTGGGGCTGGGGCAGCGGCCGCCGGCGGCAGCAGAGCACAGAGCCACAGCAGTGGGGCTGCTGCGGAGCGTGGAGCGCAGAGCCATGATGACAGTGGCAGTGCCAGTGGAGCCACAGCAGAGCGCGGAGCCGTGGCAGCGGAGCGCGGAGAGGTGGGCAGGGCCGACCCGTGGGCCCCAGCCGGCAGCGAGGGGAGGGGAGCTCCTTACCGCCGTGGGGGCCAGCTCATCAGTGAGCTGGGGCCTCGCCACACCTGATTGGACGAGCTGGGGACGGGCTCCACCCCTTGCCTCCGGCATGTGGCCAGGGGAGCTGCAGCATGGCCCGTGCCTTGCCCACATGTGTGGTGGGCAGAGGGACGAGGGAAGTTCCTGCGTGGAGCTGGAGGCACGTCACGGCTGGCCAGAGCGGACGGAGGCACAGGGTAGGTTCCCGTGCAGAGCTGGGGGCACCTCGAGGCCAGGTTAGGGCTCTGTGTGTGTGTGTGTGTGTGTGTGTGTACATGTGCATGTGTGTGTGCTTCCCAGCACATCCCAATAGCTGCTTTGGCTCATACTGCAACCCATGTGCTTTGCGTGGAGCTGGAGGCACGTCACGGCTGGCCAGAGCGGACGGAGGCACAGGGTAGGTTCCCGTGCAGAGCTGGGGGCACCTCGAGGCCAGGTTAGGGCTCTGTGTGTGTGTGTGTGTGTGTGTGTGTACATGTGCATGTGTGTGTGCTTCCCAGCACATCCCAATAGCTGCTTTGGCTCATACTGCAACCCATGTGCTTGGAAGCACACACACATTCACATGCATGCATGCACGCACACAAACATAGCCCCAACCTCCCAGCTCCCAGATTCCCACCAATCTGGTACTTTTGCTAAAATTTTCTCCAGTGGCTGGGACACTGAGACAGCCTATAAAATCTGGGACTGTCTCAGCCAATCCAGGATATATAGTCACCCTACGTATAAATAGTCTAGATTATTTTTGTTGACTTTTTTTTTTTTAATGATAGACTAATTCCTATTGAATTTCAGAAAAGTACCTTGGGTGGGCCCAGGGACAACATACTCAGGCATTTTCAACTCTTTCTCCTTTCTGTTTCATTTTCTCCTGTCTTTTTCATTAGGTACATTCCTATCTTTTAATGCCACCATCTCTTTTGGTTCAGATACTCAGAGCTGCCAATTCTCATGATAGTGGGGGGAAAATTTTGGTTGGAGCTGAAACCAGTGAAAAGCTACAGCCCTCTAACACAGGCTTGTCCAACATACGGCCCGCAGGCCTCCATGCAGCCTGCCAAGCCATTTTAGCTGGCTCGCGGCGGAGCGCAGAGCCGCGGCAGCAGTGGCAACGCCGGCAGAGCCGTGGTGGCGAAGCACGGAGCTGCAGCAGTGGCAGCACTGGCGAAGCCACGGCGGCAGTGGCTAAGAGCCACGGTGGCGGTGGCAGGGCTGCCGCAGAGCGCAGAACCATTCATAGATTTCATAGATTTCTAGCGTTGGAAGGGACCTGGCAGATTATCAGGTCCGCCCCCCTGCTCCAGGCAGGAAAGAGGTCTGGGGTTAAGTAACCCCAGCCAGATGCCTGTCTAATCTCCTCTTGAACACCTCCAAGGTAGGGGAAAGCACCACCCACAGCAGCGGAGTGCAGACCTGCGGCAGAGCCGTGGCAGCGGTGGCAAGGCAGCAGTGGCAGGGCAGCAGCCAGGTGGGCGGGGCCGGCCCGCAGGCCCCAACTAGCTGCAAGGGGAGGGGAGGGGAGCTGCTTATGCCTGTGGGGCCCAGCTCATCAGTGAGCCGGGTCCTGCCACAGCTGCCGCAAGGGCTGTACGGAGCGGGGCTGCCCTAGCCGTGCCTGACTGGAGGAGATGGGGACGAGCTCTGCCCCTTGGTCCCGGCACGTGGCTGGGGGAGTTGCAACATGGCCTGCACCCTTCCCATACACGTGGTGGATGGAGGCGCGTGGTAAGTTCCTGCGCAGAGCCAGGGGCGCTTCGGGGCCAGCCAGGGTAGACGGAGGCACAGGGTGAGTTCCCGAGCAGAGCTGGGGGCGCCTTGGGGCTGGGCCGGGGCAGACGGAGGCACAGGGTAAGTTCCTGTGCAGAGCTGGGGGCGCCTCGGGGCCAGGCCGGGGCTGACGGAGGCGCGGGGTAAGTTCCCATGTGGAGCAGACCCATTTCATTGTCACTTCCTACAACTTCATTGGTGTCAAAGGTCACATGACATCACTTCCTGATGTGATGTCACTTCCTGCAAGGTCTTTGAATATGGCTCACTGGCCCACTGGGTGATAAAAAGTTCGTGATCCGGCCCCACATTCAAAAAGGTTGGCCACCTCTGCTCTAACAGGTCTATGTACAGATGTTCATTTCTGTATCACAGTAGCATGATCTTAGAAGAACAACAAGTTAACAACTAGTTCTTTAGCCAAAATGAATGTTAATTGAATGATCAGATAAGTAACCAAGAGGGCTAATACATGAAGCCCTAGGACTGTGATTCTCAACCAGGGTGCCTTGAGATCTTTTCAAGGGTGCCATGGGTGCCACGCAATGTTAGCACTCTTAGGCGTGAAAACATGCTTCTCAAGGATAAACCCAGAGATTTCAAATAGGAATCCAGCGTGTTAAAAACACATTCTGACCTGTCGTGGTCTTTCTGAGTTCTTTGCAACACAAGAATTGCTCTATTATTTTTCTGTAGTCAAAAACCAAAGGAAACCAGGAGCTGACATTTTCTGAAGAGTGCCCTTAGTCTATTGAGGGGTATTTTGAGCTGAGAAAGGATGAAAATCACTGCCTTAGGATATGGGAAAGATATGGGAGGAAACCAAAATAAAGCAGACTGCTTGTATGCAGGAACATAGGTAACAACTAGAGTCATTCAGCATGTCATAGCCTCCCATAGACCGAGACTCGAACCAACGAACCCCCGGTCTCAGCGGCCCTTCCCTACTCAAGGAAACTCCCGCCCCTCCCGCACCCGGGAGGCGCAGGAGTCATTGCGCATGCGCCCACCCGGTTCCGGGTCGTGGCTGAGCCGCATTACGTGACTTCGGCCGTCAGGGAACGCCCACGGACGGGGCTGGGCTCAGAGGTGCTCGCGCCTGGGACTGGAGCTAGGCTGGGACGTGCGCATATACGCTCCGCGGGGCGCCAAGCATAAAAGCTTATCACGTGCTGCGAGCATGGCCAGCGGGGACATAACCGCGGGGCCGGCGCGGAGCGGGCGGGGCCGGCGCGGCGCCATGGGAGAACGGCGGCCGCGGGTCCTGGTGCCGGCGGCCTACGCGCGGCCCTTCATCTGCTCCTTCTCCGACTGCGAGGCCACGTTCAACAAGGCCTGGAAGCTAGACGCGCATCTCTGCGGGCACACGGGTCAAGTGAGCGCGCGGGGCGGGGGCGGGGCGGGACTGGTGACGTAGTGGCGCGGAGCCCGGCTCCGTCCCGCTCTGCTCAGCTGTTAACGGTCGCGCCCGGTCGTTCTCTGTGGGGCCTCGCTGGGGGCTTCTCGGCTTCACATCGCTCCGCGCCTGCCCCGGGCTTGGCTGCGCTGCGGGCTCCGTCTGCCTCCCATGTGTGTAAAATGCACACAGCCCTACACGTGTATCGCATAATACGGACATAAAGCTTCCGTGAACGTTTGTGTGTGTGTATATATGCAAGCTTATGTATATTTATAAATATATGGAGATTGATATCTATCACACACACGTGTGTGTGAATTTTATATTGCTGTGTTTGATATGTGTAGGAGTGTGTGTATACATGTGCATATTTTGCACACAACAAAATGCACACTTGTATATACATATAATTTTATTACACATGGATATTATGTGGTACTCCTTCCCATAACAACGTGGTTTTGTGGGGGGGGACGGGGAAGGCGCCCATGCAGCAGAGGAAGAGGACATCAGTGAAAATGGCAGCAGCCTCACCTGACAACTGTCACTATGGCTAATGTAGATCAAAAATACAGTGAAGGGGACAGCAATGGGAATTATTTCAGGCCCGCCACATGAATATGGAGAAATGCTTTTCTTTCCTCGCCTTCTCATTAGACTTCCTTGGCTCTTGAACTTCCTGCAACTCAAGGAACAAACGGGAAGGCTGGTGAAAGAGATTTGGGGTTTTTTGTTTTGTTTTGTTTTTTGCGTAATAAAGCCTGAGCTAAGTTTGATTCTGTTTGAACCACTTTCATTTATTTAGTTAAAAAGTCAGTTTTATAATCTGAGTAACTTTCTAAAGGAGGAAAAAACTTCTCTATATTTCATACATGAGATCTTTAAGGAATCTCAAAGGTGTGAATAATCATTTAACTGTTGAACGCAGCATTGGACAACTCTTCTTCCAGCCGCGTCCCTTCCTCATGGTTTTAGATGTTCTAGTATTCAAAAAGCTGCCTTATTAAAGGGATCTAAACAGATTTTCTGGCAAATCAATAGAATTATCTATAATAAAGCTATTTCAGGTTTCTGCATAATATGTCTCTCTCTTTAGAGACCATTTGTTTGTGATTATGAAGGTTGTGGTAAAGGTTTCACCAGAGACTTCCACCTCGCCCGTCACTTTCTTACACACAGTGGAGAAAAACCTTTCAAGTACGTATAGTATTCCTTTTTCTTTGGGTCCCAAAAAAGAGGATTCATTTGTCTTTGTAAAAAAAAAAAAAAAAGCAACATAATGCAGGAAAACCAAATCAAGTGCTATAGCATAAGCATGCTTTTTAAGTCAGGAAAACCAGTATAAGATTTGGTGCACTGGTTCTGACGAAGTGATCTGCCAGTCTATTATCTCTTGCATTTGGTAACCTTGGCATCCTAATTATTAACATATAACCTGCAGTTCTGTTCCTCTTCTATCATTTTCTGTTCTTCCCTCTAGCCATTGAAGGGACTTGTAGTTCCTGGCATCCTGACAAGATGGGTCTGCATCTGGCAGTGGCCCAAACTGGATGCTTTTAAAGCAGTGGTGCTCAGCATTTTGGCCCAGGAGACCAAATGAATGGCATGGGGCTGGTCTGCGGGCTGGCATGGGATCCCTGTGTTGCTTCTGCCCAGCCCTGCATGCCAGAATTGGCTGGCCTGTGCACCCCATCTGGCATGCAAGGAAATGCAGGGCTCCCTGCATACCCATGGGGAGCCCTGTGGGTTGGATGACCCAGTGTTGGGGGTTGGATATGATCCACAAGCTGGGAATTGAGCACCTCTCCTTTAAAGGAAGATTCTGGGAGAAGTGACAACTGAGGAACCAGTTCCTTCTTGTAATACCAAGCAATTATTAGTGAGCTTGTGCTATGAAGTTCAAGATGTAAATATATATATATATTTTTTTTAATTATCTGCTTAGCCTCCTTTTTAATGATGTGGCACAGCAACAAGCTCCCTGCACCTGCTGCGCTTGTGTCAGTGCGGCCTGGACTGGGAAGGCTCCTCTGTGCTGCTGGGCTGGGTCCTCCCCAGCTCACCCTGGGGGGAGGGAGGGGTCCCATCCCGGGGAGCAGTCTCCACCATGCACACTGAGTCCTTCCACCTCCCACGTGTGGCGCTGGGGCTGTGCAGGGCTGGGTACATGGCTGGCTCAGCCCAAGGAGGTGTTGCTGCAGGCAGTATCGGGTCTTAGGGGCCATTGCTAGCCCCTCATGCTATGAGTGCGGCCCCACGGTATTCCTGAGGGGCAGTGGTGCAGCAGGGATCCCAGGGGAAGCATTAGGACTGGACCAGCAGCCTCCCCGGCTGAAGCTACTGCGCTGCTGCCTCTTAGGAAAGTCCTGGGGCTGCGTTTACTGCTTGAGGGGCCGGTGGCAACCCCTCAGACCCATCATTACCTGCTTCAGTTGTCACAACGCCTCCTCAGGCCAAGTCAGCCATGTGTTCAGCCCTGCCTCAGGTAGGGCCAGACCCTGCATGGCCCCAGCGCCATGGGTGGTAGGGGGAAAGAATGTATTGCACCTGGAGGAGGCTTCTCTGCTTGGACTGGACCCCCACATCCTCCCGGGTAAGCTGGAGAGAGCCTGGCCCAGCAGTGCAGAGGAGCTTTCCCAGTCCAGGCCGCACAGTGTGCAGTGGCACAAGCACAGTGGGAAGTGCAGGGAGTGTGTTGCTGTGCCTGGGCCCTGTTACTGTGGAGGCACCAGGCAGATGCACAGCAGGGCTGGGAGTGTCACTGCTGTGGCAGGAAGCCCCTGCCTGACCCCACATCCCTCCCTCTGTATGGCGGTGGGGTCTGGGCACAGGAGAGGTGTTCAGCCCCAGCTCTGTCTATAGCCCCAGCCCCTACCTGTGTGGGCAAGGGGAAGCTGTGGCTCAGCAGCTGAGCAGCACCCCTAAGTGGTTTGGCCATGCAGGATGCCTTCAGCTTCTTGCCAGTGGCCTGGGGCCTGCGCACTGCAGGTGCGTGGTAAAGATGTAAGGGGCCAGGGCAATTCCTACTGAAAGTCACTGAACAGTAAGTGGTAAACAGTATAAATATAATTGTTATTTAACCACTTACATCCTTACATGAAGTCAAGTAGTTTATAGCATTCATCTATTTAAGCTACTGTATTTACCCAAATCAAAGAAGATTTAGAGTTTAAGATACCGATTACCCCCCCCCCAATAATTAGGTTTGTTAAAACTTTCCAGGTAATAGAACCTAATAATTTGGGGGTCATCTTAAATTGGCCACTCTTCCTGCTGCTGTGGTGGAGAAAGCTTCAGTGGGGAGATTGAGAGGCCAGACTCCTGTCCCTTGCCCCTCTGCCATGGGTGGCTCTTGGTCTGGGGCAGTCAATGCTGGTGGCTCTGCCTCAGCCAGCCAGAGAGAAGCAGCACTGAGGCTCCAGGGCCTGGCCAGGTTGGGGTGGGAGCTGTGGCTGGATGGAGCTGAAGGTAAGTGGTAGTAGAGGGAGATGGGCTACACAGCCTCCTTCGTGTACCCCCTGCCATGAGCCCCTTTCTCTGCTGCACGAGGCACCCCACTGTGGGAGCTATGGCTCCCCATGCAGCCACTCCAGGTTTGGATGGAGACAGCTGAAGCAGCTGGCAGGTTCTTCTTTCCAGCATCTGCTCTCTGCCCCCAGTATACCGTACTGGCTAGAAGCAGGCATTAGGAGGAGGAACTGTGGCTTCTGTGGCTGGAATGGCTCTGGGACTCTCCTTATACTTGCATTAGCTGGGGGACAGCAGTGGTGGGTGGGTTCGTCCAGTGCCAGCTCCCAGCCAGCAGGAGATGCTGGGGGGGTGAGGGTGGCAGAGAACAGATGCAGGAAGAAGAAACCTGCCCACTGCCATTACTGTCCCCTGCTGGGTTTGGTACCATATGCAGCTGCAGTCTATGGCTGGAGCAGCTCTGGGGCTCCACCTGTGCCCAAGTAAGCCAGAAACAGCAATATAAGGGAGATGCAGCCACGCTGCCCCACTCCAATCGGCCCTTAGTAAGGTACAAAAATAATATGATAGGGACAGGGGAAAGTAGAAAGGTACTTACAGTTAATGAAGTCAGTTGAGCAATTCCAGGAAGTGGACTGGATGTGGATTTTAGGTCTGGAAGCCAAAAATTTCTAAATTTGTAATCAGTTTCTACTCTGATTTGGATTGCTTTTGTACTCTTAGATCCGGGCCTTAACCTCTGGTTTTCATTGGTTTTAAAATGGGTGCTTTGTAGAAGGGTTGTGAGAGTCGATTGATGTATACCTTAGTCTTCAAATCATTGTACAAAGTGCTAAGCTGATAGAAGAACTAATTCTTTGTATATATAAAAACTACAGTACCTTCATTTCTAACTTGTTGATTTCCAGCCAGAGTGCTGCAACACTCTAGGATGCCTTGGGATCCTTTCAAGGATGTTGCAGAGTAAGACATAATGCAGTGTTAGGTGTGCAAACAGGTTTCACAAGGTAGGCCCAGAGATTTCAAAAAGAAGCCAGAGTGTTAAAAAACATTCTGGCCTGCTGTGGTCTTTGCAAAAGAATTGCTGTATTCTCTGTAATCAAAAACCAAGTGAAAACTAAAGATCTGGCACTTTTGTGAGGAACCTTGAGTCTGAAAAGGTTGAGAATCCCTGCTCTAGCTCTCTTCCTGTATTCTCCCATAATTTAAATTGTATTCTCTTAATATTATATTCACTTGTAGGTGCACAGCTGATGACTGCAATCAAAAGTTTACCACAAAATCAAACTTAAAAAAGCATGTTGAACGCAAGCATGAAAATCAACAGAAGCAGTATGTTGTAAGTAAATACTGGAAAAAGTAGTTACTATAATGTTTCATAGATTGTAAGGCTGGAAGGAACCTTGGAAGATCATTGGGTCCAGCCCCCTGCACCAAACAGGAAAGATAACTGGGGTCAAGGTGACTGCAGCAAGGTAACTGTCTAGTCACCTCTTGAAGATTTCCAGGGGAGGTGGTGATTGCCCCACCTCTGGAGGGAGCCAATTCCACAGTCTCGACACCCTGACTGTGAAGAAGTTTCTCCCAATATTGAGGCTGAACTGATCTTTCAGGAGTTTGTGGTTATTACTCCTGGTTTTCCCCTTGTGTGCCCTGGTGAACAGTTGCTCACTGAGCCCATGATGTACTCCACTAGTGTAGTGGTAAGCTGCTACCAGGTGCCCCCTCAGCCTTCTTTTTGCTCAGGCTGAAGAGTCCCAGATCCCTCAGCCTTTCCTCATATGGCTTGACTTGTTAAGACTGATCATATGGGTGGCTCTTATTTGGACTCTCTCAAGCTTGTCCATGTCTTTGTTAAAGTGTGGCGCCCAGAATTAGACACAGTACTCCTGCTCTACTCGGCACTGGTGAGACTGCAGCTGAAGTATCACCTCCTTGGCTTTGCTGGAGATGCATTGATTGGTGCATGCCAGAGTATTATTTGCCCTACTGGCTATAGCATTGCACTGCCAGCTCATATTCATACTGTGGTCTATTATTACCCTCGGGTCCCTTTCATTCGTGGTGCTAGTCAGTTTGGTACTGCCAACGTTGAACTTTATCAGGTTCCGGTTGGCCCAACTTGCTAGCCTGTCTAGTTTTGCCTGTATCTGTTGCCTATCTTCAAGTGTGACCATGCGTCCGTGTCATCCACAAACTTGGCCAGTGAGCTCTTCACCCCCACAACCAAATTGTTATAAAGATGTTGAAAAGTACTAAACTGAGAACCGACCCCTGCGGGACACTGCTGCCCGCTTTTCACCAGGATGACACAGATCCGTTCACTATGACTCTCCGGGTCTTATCCTGCAGGCAGTTTCTCACCCACCTGACTGTCCTGGGGTTAAGCCCACAATCCTCCAATTTTTTCATGAGGACATCATGGGATACTAAAGAAGGACTTCTTGTCCTTGATTCCTGTTGCTAATCTAAGTTCAGTCACCGCTTTACTCTGTCTGGTCTGTTCCCTGCTAATGCAGGCCATCATGGAATAGTCCTCCTTTGAGCCTGCCCTGAGCTTCCATTGTTTATAAGCTTCTTTCTTAAGAGGACACTGATTTCCCTGTTTAGCCAAGAGGGCTTCCCAGCCCTTCTGTTAACTTTTCTCTGCATGGGAATTGACTTCCCCTGTGCTTCAAGGATCATGACCTTAAGGAACGACCACTCTTCACACACACCTTTTGCCTTCAGTCCGTGGTCCTGCAGCATTTGCCCTACTAGTGACCTAAACTTGTTGATTCTCGGGCGAACTCCAGATAAAGTTCCTCCCCCTGGCTTGGTCTGTAGTATATGCCTACAGTTAGGTCTCTCTTGCTGTGGCTCCGCCACCCCTGCAGTGCAACTTGACCCAGAGGGTTTCAAGCTGTCCATTTTTGGAGCCAGTGTCGGCCTCCAAGGAGGTGTATTACTCTTTCACGTACAGCAATGCCTCCATCTTTTTTTTTTCCCCACCTGGTCCCTTCTATGCAGGGTGTAGCCCTCTATAGCTACACTCCAGTCATGTGAGGAGTCCCACCAGGTCTCCATAATCCCTACTAGATCATAATGCACACTGGAGAACATGAGGGCTAGCTCTTTCTGCTTGTTCCCCATGCTCCTGGCATTCCTATATAGGCACCTGAGTCCTCCTCCTGAGGCCCACGTCTTCTTGTACTGCTGATGGAGAACTATTCCCTCAGCTTCCGCAAGAGTGGCTCTTCCAGTGTCCCTGTCTAATGAGCTTGCTTGTATATTGGTCCATGGACATGTTTGAATTTGTGTATCCCTGTACCCCAGCAATTTTAGTTTAAAGCCCTGTCCAGAAGATCGGCCATCCTGGCCGTGGACAAGGAGTTGCCTTTCCTCGTTAGGTGGATGCCATCTCTTCCCAGGAGTCCTTGACCACGGAGCGCACTTCAGGGAGCGGAATCTGAAGTCTCCTCTTCTTTTAATTTATTTAAACAAACATTTCACAACCTGTAAACATGATAACTTTTTCAAATAGTGAAGAACAACTGTGGATTTTGTGCCAACTCTACAGATTTTATATACTAGCAGAAACTTCTAAATCACATTTTCTCTCAGATTGGTTTCTCTTTCTAATAATAACTTAATTTTTCCAAACAGTGTGACTTTGAAGGTTGTAGAAGGTCTTTTAGAAAACATCAGCAGCTTAAAGTTCATCAGTGTCAACACACCAATGAACCTGCTTTCAAGTAAGTGAATAATTTTTTAATACCAAACTTTAGCTAGTTCACTTAAACGCTGTGTTTGAGAGTGAGCCTGAGACTGTCAGTGCGGGTGAAAAATATAAATATTCTGGTTTAACTATGGACCTCATATTTAAACCTCTCTTCTAGCGTTCTAAACATCTGTTAAAACCAATGTAATTCAACAACTGTGCATTCTTGTCTATAGAATAGAACTAAAGCATGCAATATTCTTTCATTTTCATGATTTTACTTGAGAAGTAGTGCTCCATAACTTACATGTCTGGGCAATCAGTGCTTTGAGTTTATTATAGGAGTCACCCAGTTGAATAATCTAAATTTTACATTTGGTATGAAACCCATAAGCAGAGCAGCACTTCTTTTGTTTTGTTTTACTGTTGGATTGGCTACTCTTTCTGCCCCAATTGAATAAAGTGAGAGGTTTTAAGGGGATAATTGCTCTGACCAAGCAACTCTACCTTTTGAGCTGTTTAGCTGCTTGAGTCAATATTAATTGAGTAAAGCAAAATTGGATGTTTTATTTCACTTTAGTGGAACTTCCATATGCATTCCACTGTACCTTGTAGCCCTGTAACATCCATGTCTGCTGGGTGATAAATTACTGGTTTTCATTGCAGGCTGTACTAGTGACTTGCTCTATAGCTTTGGGCTAAACATGTTAGCCCCCAGCTTCCACATGGCTTTTATGGCTGGAGGAACTGCCCTAAAATGTTGACATCTCGGTTTGAGAGCCTGAGATGAGTTGCTAATTCTACAGAGAATGTTTCTTAACTACAATATACAGTTTGATAGATCCGAGTCTCCTACAAGAATTGTATAACGAAATGCTCTGCAGTACCTTAACAAAGACGGAAACTTTTTGGAAAATTTAAAAATTGTCCTGATTAATTGTGGCATGTGTGGTGGTGAGGGGTGGGTCCTTATGCTTTTTTGGCTTGACTGCATTTAATGTATTTATTACCTAGATGTAGTCATGAAGGATGTGAAAAACACTTCTCTACTCCAGCTAGACTGAAACGGCATGAAAAAATACATGAAGGTAATCTCAGGTTCTGCTTTTACTTCAGCCAGACGAGTACAGCAAAACCAGTTTTTATTTACCAATATAGACTGGTTCTCAACTTTATGTTCAGGGTTCCCACCTGTAAATTTTTTGAATAATGCGTCACCCGGTTGAGAGAGCACGGATTTACTACCTCAGTGGTTTTCTGCTGGGGTGCTGCTACTGCTGCCGGGTAAAAGTACTCTTGTGTTTTGTGCATGCTCAGACGGGGAAGGACAATTTTAAGAGTGTCCTTCTTATCACATCCCTTTTCAGTCTGGTCTCTGTATGCTCCTCCTGGAAACGGAGGTGTATGGAACTGTCCCATCTGCGCCACATGCGTGTTTCTGAGGGACACCACGCACAACCAGACTGGAAACAGCTGCGGCATGAGCACACACTCCTGTTTGCCTTCAAGTTATCAGATAAGCCTAAAAGTAGCACCCACTCTTGGCAGCAGTCCTTCCTGGTCTGAGTCTGCATGAAATACATAGGGCAATTCCACCTGGGCACAGCAGTTGTGCGTGTACCATAGCTCTCTTGGAAGAGTCTCGCAGCTCCCCAGTTGAGAATCACTGATGTAGACAGGCTTGGAGATCTGAAAAATAGATGGCCCTACTTTGTGAGACTAGCAGTCCAATTGGATATAGAAAGAAGCAAGGCAGACTTAATCTGGTTCACCATCTGGAATATGACCGAGCATTGCAGCATTTTGCACGTAACTGCATTTTTAATATAGGTGAGCACACTGGCAGATCATCTTCAAGATGAAAGTACTGTTGGTCATGAGGACTGTTGTCTAGGATTTAGGAGACTGAGAGCAGTTTTCTGCTTTCATGCTTCCAAAACATGGCTCGTACAGGAAGGTATTTAGGTGCTAAATTTAACTTCTGTGAATTTGAAAAAGAATTGCTTACCTACACATCTTTTGAGGATTCGTTTGAAGTGTTTTGCTTTTGAGAATGGGACATTGACCTTAGTGATTTAGCCATCTCGCAGTGAATGAAGGAACTCCTAAATAGTTCTAAAATATGGACTCAAGTTGCCCTGTGCCTCCACGCCTCACCTCTAAACAAAATAAAAACAGCAACGTGGAAACTGATGTTCCATATTTCGACTACTTTTTTCCATATTTGCTGTGGCCTAAACAACCTGTAAACCTTACTTGATTCTGCCTGATGGAAAAACTCACTTGACTTGAGTGAGGCAATAACTTGTTTTATATTGGTAGAATGAAAAATGTCAAATATCCTCCTGAAGTCCAATTTAAGGTATTAGATGTGGCTTAAGTTAATAGTTCTTATACCTTAAGTGACCTTAATTCTCCAAGGGACCATGGTTAACTAAAATCCTCTACTTGGCCACAAAACAGGCAGCCTTATTACAGTCTGTCAGATGTAGATCTACCCCCACCTCAAGTCTTTGTAGAATCCTTTCTAGGAATTGAGGCTAGCTTGGCTTTTACCCGTCTCCTCGGCATACTGTCCAACAAAAGATCTGGTCCCAGTTTTTGTACAAATAAGTTTGAATTCAATTTGAAATAATAAGTACTCTTATTCATACAAGCTGAACAGCCAACTCCTCTTGGCCATTCAGCCTCAGCTGAATCTGAAACTAGTGTGCGCGCGCGCGCATACACACATACACTCTGCTATATCTGCTTCTTACTGCTAACTTTTCTGCATCCTCCAGCCCTAAAACTTCTCCATGAACAACTATGGCTGTTGAAGCATGTGCATGCAGATAGATACTAGGCACTTCATGGCATATGTTAAAACAGACTGATGTAGCACAGTGATTCTCTCAGCCTTTTTTAGACTTGGGCTACTCCTCCATAATTCTTCAGAATTCAGTGGCACCCCATTTAAAAAAAAATATGGTGCATGCAAATGGCTGGAAATACATTATTTAAACGAACTGGAAAAAGCATACATGAACAGCCATAATATTGTAATGCCATGCTTCTTGAGCATGGCATTAATTACAATATTATGGCTGTTCATGTATGCATTTTGAGAATTACTGTTCTAGAAAAATACTGTTATGGCTCCTGTCACCATGGTGTCTGTACACCCTGAATCTATAAAGTATTTATTCCTGGAGAAGCTTAGAGTCAGTGATTAAGGGTCAGATTCCATCTCACTGAAGGTATCTAATGGCTGTTGGGGGTTTGTGAGAGGTCTAGAAATTGAACTTTTTTAATACATAAAAGAATCACTTGTAGCACACACTTACAAGAAACTTTAATCTTATTTCCTGAATGCTATGCAAGTCCAACTCGCTACCATCTTGTTACCTGATTGACTTGAAAAAGGCAAACTTTACACTTGCTGCAGAGTGGAGCTGTTTTCCTATAAAGTTGGGAACACTATATATGCTTGCGTAGTGCCAATTTGATCTTGATGACAAATATGTGGAAGGGGATTTTCAAACTGGAGTGACTTTTTTTTCCCCCCAGAATCATCAGATTTGCACAATGTACCGGGATTTCTCTTTCACTGACTATAACTTTAATGTTTTGGGGCTGGAGACTTTAGCTCTGAGCTGTGTGTGCATATATAAGACTAGCTGACTTGACTGCCAGACTGAGTGTGACTTCTTTAATAGGATATGCATGCAAGAACGAGAACTGTTCATTTGTTGGAAAAACATGGACAGAACTTCTAAAACACATGAGGGAAAGTCATGCAAGTAAGTCATAAAAGTGCTTGTACAGTAATATTGATTTTTTGTTTTAATGTTTTGGCATACTTGAATAAGTACCCAAGATAAAAGGAGGTCCTTATTAATCTCCCTCTTATCAACCTATTATGCATTTTGGGGGGGGGGAGAAGGGACGTTATATGTAACTTGTTAGTACAACATAATATATTAAATCTCTCCCATTCCGGATAACTTTTAGTTGAAAACTATTACCCAGTAGTATTTGCCATGTGTTGTGATCAACAGTATATTTTATAAAAGGATATCATATAGCTAGGTGAGGAAGGAAGACAGGTGGAAGTTTCTGAATTTCTTGCACTTCATATGAACTGAAACTTCTTGTAAAGCAAGGGGGCCCCTGGGCCAGATAGGGACTGCAGGGCTCCTTGCAGGCCAGATCTAACCCATGGCATGAGGGCTCTGACAACGGCCGCTCTGGTGGTGTGGAGGTCCAGTAGGGGCAGTGCGGAGTCAGGTGGCAGTTGGAGTGCAGGGCCTAGTGTGGGCAGCAGAAGTGCAAGATCTGGCAGCAGCAAGCCAAGCTTATTGCCAGAGGGCCCAACTTCTGGTGCTTTCCAGTAGCCCAAAGGTCCAGATAAAGAGGCTCTGCAGGTCTTATGTTCGACACCCCTATTGTAAAGGACTGACTTCTCAGTTAATTCTGAATTTTTTTTCAAGCACTTTCAGTAACTAACTTTGGCTTTTTTTTCATCTAGAGCCAATAATCTGTAATGTGTGTTCTAAAACATTCAAACGTAAAGACTTCCTCAAACAACATCAGAAAACACATGCTGAAGAAAGGAAAGTATGTAGGTGCCCAAGAGAAGGGTGTGAGAGAACTTACACGACGGTGTTTAATCTTCAAAGCCACATCCTCTCTTTTCATGAGGAGAGAAAACCATTCTTATGTGACTATGCTGGCTGTGGGAAAGTGTTTGCAATGAAAGTAGGTATTTTTGGACTGTATTAAAATCAAGATTACCTTCTCTTGAGCTATGTAAACATAACTTCCTTTTCAATTTTAGCAAAGCCTTGTAAGACATGCTGTTGTTCATGATCCTGACAAGAGAAAGCTGAAATTAAAAGTAAGTCATACTCTTCTGGAAATTCCTTTTGTCCATTTCCTCTCATTTCTACCCTCATCCATTAAGAAAGTAACTAGCAAGAGTTTCTGAAATCAGGGTGTAAATTACCTAGTCCATCTAACATATATTTATTTAATGTAAGCAAATACAAATAATTCTGAACCTACATACTGCAAAAGAGTCCCAACACTTTAATATATTCTTATTTTCTTTAGAAATAAAAAAGTACATGCGAGGAAAGTGTATGTGGTGGTGGTTGTTTTAAGTCTAGAATTCTAAGTCGCTGGGTTAATTTGTACTGTAATTATTCTTTTCCCCTCCTCCTCCTCTCCCCCAAAAGGCAAAACGATCTCGTCCTAAACGAAGCCTGGCCTCCCATCTCAGCGGATATATTCCTCCTAAAGCTCAGCAAAGAGAGGCTAGCTTGGGAACAGAAAATGAGATGCTGAATAAACCTGCAGAAAATGGGTTACCAACTGTTGAAACACTGACTCTGCGCTAATGGCTTATTAAGACAAGTCTATCCAAAATAGACTATTTCATGAACTTAACAAGTGCTTTATTAAGTTTATAAGGACTTGTACAGAATATTTTCACTGGTAATTTGTTTTGTTTTTGTTGTTTTCTTTTAATTAAAGTCACTATTGCAATTCATTTGATATTGTAGCTTCACTTCCATGTTTCTTACGAATGTCACTCTGTTTGTTGTCTTTTACTTCTTCCACGTTCTGTTTCTGAAGTTCTGTGTCTGCTATATACCTCAACACACACACATACTTCTTGCCTACGATTGCTGGCTGGGACTGGTAAGTAGCTTTCTCAGACACGGCTTCAAAAATCTTAGCAAAGAGCAATGGCTGAAACAGGATAAATAAGTTATAGGCATTATTTGATCTATGCAGGGCACTTAACTAGTTACTCAAAGTTGAGATGTATAACTGCAGGAAATAGCCCCTTTGGTTCTCTTGGTGACACTGAACCACTGCCTAAAGCAAAAATTGAATTCAACAAGACTAATCTCAAAGTTATGTTGTCCTGGCTAAGTTTATGCTCTTCTCACCACTACACGAAGTGCTTCATCTCATCTGTTTATCAAAAAAGTTCCCTCTCCATTATAATACTGAACTTCAGTACCTATCATCAGGGTTGAGTTACTTTTAACTTAAGTTCCACTAAAGGTTTTCTTCTCTCTATAGCTGTATTTTGTTTCTACTTGCTTCAGTAGTGAAACTTATTAAGTATGTTCTATTATCCATGCAATCACTTTTAATGGGAAAGATTTATCTTGAGTTTAAACTCCCTATTATACATGCTATTGTTAGAGTTCCTGTTACTATGAGAGGAGAAACTGCAGCAGCTAGAGCCCAGGTAGATAGATAAATAGGGGCCAGCTGTAAGAGGGAAGACAGCAAATGGCCCATCAAGGTAAGGGGCACATCTGCAGCCAATCTGAAGAAGTCAGCTAACTGGAAGGGGACTGGGCTTGGGGAACATATAAGCCCAGGGCCCAAGTCAAGGCAGTCAGTCTGGCCCTGCAGGCTGCAGAAGAAGAGTCCTGCAGGGGGAGAGTTGTAACGAAATAACTAGTGGTGATCTGTTAGACCTGAGAGCTGTACACAAAAGGCTGAAGGCTTGCAGGGAGCTGGGAACCAGGATGAGTAGGCTTAGAGTTATGTTACAGCCAGTGGGCTTGGAGTTTGGTAACAGCTGGTGCGCGCACGTTCACATTTAAGTTTTTAAACTGGTGGATAAGGCACAGCAAGCAAAGGGGTGATGTGGCTGTGGTGGGACCCTTGAGGGACTCATTGCAGTTCAGTGCCTGAGAGGCACATGAGATGGAATCTTGCTAGGGCAGGGCACAGGACTGTCAAGTGGCAATAGGCCTAAGGCTGAGAGGGCAGGACCACAAGCTGGAGAGGGATGGGAACCAGAGGCAGTAGCCTACAGCTGAGAGAGGGCTGAAACCAAGGCCAGAGAGTTCAAACCCTGAGCAAGGTGAAGATGGCACCAGAGGGCCCAGCACTAAGAAGCCCAAACCAGGTACAGCACAGTGGATCTTGGCTAGATGGCCCAGTGAGAGAGGGAGAGGAAGCTGAGGCCCCAACAACTGGACAGTAACATCTGCAAGCAGAGCCATCCCTAGGGGTGTGCAAGGTCTCGGGCATATCTGCCTGTGGGGGTGGCCAGACCGTTGAATGTGGTGGGGCCTATACAGCACTGTCTGCAGGGCCCCCCAAACCATGAGGCCCAGGGCAGCTGCCCCACTTGTCTCCCCCACCAACAACCCTGTCTGCAAGGTTTGGATATGCCTACAGGGGAGGCTAGAGGCTACAAAATTAACCCTTAAGGTGACCACCTGATAGAATCCAGCTTACTACTCTACAAGAGCTCACTGGGGCCATGGGGCAGCCTCTCTTTCAAAAATACATTTCCATCAAGGCATGGCAGATGGGAAGGGCAGGATACCTAGAGAGCTAGGGTAGAAAAGGACCCATGTGGTCACCATGGGACCTGACGCTTGTTACACACAGCAGTTCTAAAATAGAGGGAAGGCAACTCTTTATGAACTCTCAAAAGTAGAGAGAATGTGTAACAGGTCAAGAGAGCCTTTTAGAGAAACAAATTTCAGTAACTGGTAACGAGTGCCTGGTGTCAAGCAATGGGCTGCTATATACCAGCCCATGTAAGAATCTGTACTTATCCTGTAGTTTAACAAGGTCTACAAAAGGGGAACAAAGTTTTTATGTTAAGTAAATCCCTAATGTTCTTCACTCAATTACAAGATATGAATGCATCAAATTGTGATATCCTAAAATAGCAAACTGAGCAGGTCTAAGTCATTGTAATGAAAGCATACTAAAACAAAAAAATGGGGATATAGTCAAATAACCAACTGAATTTTCTTTGAAAGAAAAATGTTTAGTAGTGTGGCCAAAAACCTAAAATTAACAGCAAGGTGACAAGTACAACTAACTAGGTTCAAACTCATGGTGGTAGAATTAAGATAAATTTACATCTTTCTTTGGACTATTCAACAGATTAATGAAGTAATAAACATAATTTCAAGGCAGAAGTGTGAGACTACTTGTTTAAGTGCACTGTTCAAATGGTCTGTCTGAAAAGGCAGTTCTCCCCTTAACTGGTTCCTGATAAATGAAAATAGCTTTACTTAAAAACAGGGGGAGAAAGTTACTACTTTTAATCACTGAAACTTGCATTGGGGTGGCATGTTCATGAAGACAGTGACATCATTAAAAACATTTAGCTCTTCCATAGCTTACCATTGTTTCTGGATCTTCATTCTTTTTCAAAACAGAAATTTTGACATGATGCTTCTTGTCAATCCACTGCCGAATCTGTTTAATTTTGGTCTCCAAATCATGCTTTGCAATAACTGAAGATAAACGTATCTCTTTCAGCTCACAAGGCCCTGTTAAAATATAACCACTCATTTATGGTCTTCAAGAAAAGATTGATCATTAAACATGTTGCCCATAAGGAGTTAATTTGTGGTCTCCAGCCTGCCACCTGACCACAGCTCCTCCTCTTTGCAGCTATAGTCTGGGGGCTCTCCCTCCATCTTCCGTTACCTGCTCCTGCCCCAGGCATGGGTTACTACAGCACACAGCCTATGGTGCTAGGGATACCTGTGGCCCAGGGTGCCCACATAGCACAGTGCAGCTGGAGAACTGAAAGTAAGACAAGGGCATCTGTATCTGTGGTGCAAAGGAGTTGGAGGCAGGTGCCTGGGTTACACAGGTGTAACCTACAGTGTGTGGGCCCCAGGTGCTTCAAATGCAGTAGTGCTACTGCACTGACAGGGCTAGGAGCTGAGTAACCAGCTGATATATCTTCCTTCCAGAAGTCATCTCCCCCACTAAGACTTAACTCTTACCTCCACCTATTTTTCTCCTGATTTGCCTGTGGCATGTATCAACATTCCTCTTAAAGATGTTTTCTCTGCCCCACCCTACAGATTTCACCAGCAACTAACATTATTAAAATAGAGGTGATTTTGGGGGTGTGAGGCAAGAAGAAAGTAACATGGAAAGTCTTCTATTTCCAGCACCTTAATACCTCTTGTCAAAGTAATGCTGAACCTCCCCTCCTTTCCCCTATCCTCTCACTGGCTCAGCTCTTCTATATACTGTAAAATCTCTGTTAACTGGCATCCCTGGGGTAAGGGGTTTGCCGGCTATATAAAAATCCCAGCTACCTGAAAACCCCCAGGAGGGGTTTTCAGACAAAGTGGGGAGGGGGCGCAGCGGCTGCATACGGAGCAGTAGCAGCACAGGGTGCTCGGTGGCTGCCACTGTATACAAGCTTTCCCCCGCTCTCCCCTCCATGTCCAGCTGGCCAGAAATCTGGTTAATGGAATTTCCAGTTACTTAAATGCCAGATAGTGGAGACTTTACTGTACTAAGACTGTTTGCCTTTTTTTTTTATAGTAAAATATTTGCCTACTAAGTGGGAAAACTTGAAAATTAGTCACTTTCTGTTCCAATCTCATTCTCTTCCAAGAGTAGTCTTGAATCCTACTGAAAATAATAGGAGGTTTTTGAAACTGCAAATTCACTTCTCTCCCAATGATCCTTTTAAATGGCCATTATTACAAAATCTCTTCACAGGTGCTTTAACAAAAGAGCAAATAATCATTATAGTGGAATTACTGCTCTGACTCTTATTTAAAATCAGCAATATAATCATGGGCACAAAGCTTCAAGAACATGCTAACCATTTCTTTGTCACGAGCAGGGATCCTGGTTTTCTCCATTTAAAAATCACATTCTCCGATTTAAAAAAAAAAAATCACAAATCCTCAAGATTAAAAACTCCGAAATCCACGTTCTTCTGCAATTAAAATGAAATGCCACTGTATACATATGTATCAGTTGAACACAATCTTTTATTGATATTTACAATTTTAAAGCAATTTGGAAGCCTCCCAGTACCTCAATCACTACAATAAAATAAATTCAAAATACCTAATATATTTTGGCATTTGATTTGGTGGATTTTAATCAAGGAAAAATCAGAGCTCCCCCCCTGCTCCCTTCACTCACCAAGATGTGGGTCCAGCTGCAGGTGTCTCCCCAACAGCTTTGTGGTGCTGAGGAACCCTGCCCTGCCCATGCCATTGCTCCTCATTCTTCACCCACAGCCCCTGGGGGCCCAGCTGCCAGGGCTACAGGGCCAGAAATCTGGGTCTGCAGCCTCCTGCCCTGCCAGCAGCGACTGGGCCTCAGCTGCTGCTCAAGTGGAGCCTGGTTCCCCCTTGCCCATGGGTCCCAAATGCCCTCCCTCAGAGCCCGCATAGCAGAGAGGAGCCAGCCCCCCCCCCCACTGTCTACCGTGGTTCTGTCCCACCTGACACCCAGGCCCTGTAGCTGGGTACTCCAGGCCCAGCCCCAAGCCTCATGCAACACTCCCTGGGCCCCTCCTCTCTGCCCCCTCCCAACTTGTCTGCAAGGAGCTGTAGGAGCTGCTCTCCATGCTTCTGGTTGCCACATGCATGTGTGCACACACATGTACATGGCAGCCCTCCCTGATCAACCTTCTCCTACTCCCCCCAGCCCCTTGCAAGCTGGAACTCTGCCAGCCTGCACTGGGAAACCCACCGTGTCCCATGTTTTTCTCCTTAAAATGAGAAAATCCGGTTTTACCACAGTTTTTGTGGCAAACGGAAAACCCGGATCCCCTGGTTATAAGGAAGATGTTAAGATGAGCCAAATGGGATATCACTTTATGAACACACACCTTTTGTAAATGCTTCTTCTTGTGAGGGTATCAACCCAATCATTCAATATCTATGTACAAAATCATGTCAGATGAAAGGTGAATAACGGTTTTGGGGGCTTTTTTGTTTTTAAGTGGATGGATTCCCATTTGGAATGGTAAATACATTGCTGTTTAAACTTGCATATTTTCTCCACTCAGTATTGTGCTGTTTTGTCAAAGCCAATGACAAAAGCAAGCTTTTTATGCATAGGCCACCTTGTTTGTAAGAAGCTGATTGTTCTGAAAATTCCTTTAGTCTCAGTGTTGCTGGGAACTAGCTGTATCCACTTAAACAGATCTTATAAGCTCTAGGTTAGGACATATGAACAAATTTGTTATGAGACAGAAATGTCAGCCTCTCTGCACGCGCAGGCAGTTACCACAATCTTCTCTCTCAGTAACCTGCATCAGCAGTTCAGCTTTCACTTAATTCTCAACGAAACAAGGTTAAATTACTGGTTTTAGTTTGTTCTTTCCAAAGGATAAAAATGTGCATATGAGCAGTTACTGTATGTATGTATGTTACGCATGATAAAAGCCTACCCTGTTTTACTGCTCAAAAAGCGGTTTATAGGGGTGCACTGATAGAGATTTTTTTTGACCGATAGCCGATTGTTAAGGAGGCATATCGCCCAATACCGATCCGATTTCCAATACAGCTGCATACAGCTGGTAAGTCTATTGTGGTGGAAGGGAGACAGGGGAGGGAAGGGGCGTGGAGGGGGCAGATCAACGCCCCGCGCACTGAGGGAGGGAGCAGGGGCAGGCGCTGCCCAGTCAGGGTAGGGTGGGGCACAGGACAGAGCCGTGGCTCATGGGGGAAGGGGGGCAGCTCCCACCACTGCTTGCACCCTGGAAGGCACGCATAGATTCCTGACATGTATCAACAAGCTCTACCTGTCTTGGGAAGTATACGAGCCAACCAAAGGAAATGCCCTCCTAGATTTAGTCTTGGCCACGGGGGATAACCTGGTGAGTGATCTGAAGATAGAGGGTAACCTAGGCGATAGTGACCACGACACTATCACTTTCACTGTCTGTCTTAGGGCTGGGAAATCTGTCAGTAAGGTACAAATTCTTGACTTTAAAAAAGCTGACTTCAATAAGCTAAGGGCTTTAGTGAACAATGCCCTATGGCAGGGGTCAGCCACCTCCGGCACGCGTGCCGAGCATGGCATGCAAGGCCATTTTGCTCAGAACTCTATTGCCAGCCCAGACTCTTAAGCAGCTGCTGCCAGCCACAGACCCCAGGCTACTTCCAGCAGGCAGCTGGGAGGCTGCAAGCCCTGCTGTAAGCAGCCCAAGCTCCGTGGGCCGACTGCAGCTGAGAGGCTGCAAACAGCTGCTCCGGGCTCCGGCATGTCAGCACTCTGGCCAAAAAATGAGATCTACCCTCTTCCAAGGTAGACATTGTGGTTTCTTTGGCACGCTGGCCAAAAAATGTTGCCTAACCCTGCCCTACAGGATCATGGGCGGCAGGGAAAGAATGTGGATGAAGAATGGTCGTTCCTCAAGGATATGATCCTTGGTGCGCAGAAGTTGTCCATATCTGTATGCAAAAAAGGTGGCACAAGGGCCAGGAGGCTATCTTAGCTCAACAGGCTTCTACCCTGGAGATCTTCAAAAGGAGACTGGACGCACGCCTTGCTGGAGGGCGTTGGGGGGGCCGGGGGAGGAGGAGTGTGTGCCCCCTGGTTCTGCATAGGGTGAGGCAAGGCGGAGCAGGCTTGAGCTGGACCTGCACTGGCCTCTTCTCAGCGGGGACTAGGCTCAGGGTAGGGGCTACAGAGGGACCTACAGCCACCCCAAATTTTGCCACAGCCCCACTCCCAGCATTGCCTGCCCAGCGCAGCACTTACCAGTTCCTGAGCTTGCTTTTGCCTTTTTTCTTCTAATCTGTTCTGCATAAATCTGCTGTCCAGTCATTAGTCCATAAACTGGAGGCTCTGCATCAAGGTTCAGTGGAACCAACTTCAGTTCGCGTTCTGTCATGAGTTGAATAACTTCTGCTCTGTGCATGTTTCCTAGGCTGACCCCTTTCTCATCAATTAGCTGCACGATTTGGCTGGGGATTTTTCTGCCAACACTTCCAAAAGTGGTGGGTGTTACTTTTTTTTTTTTCCCCCCTGGTTCCGGGTTAGTGTCTACACCTGAAGAAAATGATTTGGTCTGTACAAACACGAGTCTTTGTTTAGTTCCAACTGTGGTTGCCCATAACGAAGCGAACGGTGTCTTCTGTATCATGGGCTTCAAGAAGCTTCCAAAGCATCTACTTAGGCAAGTAGTTTCATTCTTTGTGGCTTGATGTATTAATTTCCTTAGGCAAAAGGCAGCCATTCTAAGGAAGTGAGAAAGATGAAAAAGACTGTTACCTCATCAATTAGGATCTCAGTAGTTGTTTGTTAGAGACCTTAAAAAACATTTGGATGCTTATCTTGGTGGGATCCTTTGACCCTGGCTGACTTCCTGCCGCTTGGCCAGGGGATTGCACCTGATGATCTTACAAGGTCCCATCCAGCTCTGAAATCTATGACCTAAATCATGAGTAGTAAAAACCCTAATCCCTGAACCCCCCTCTCCAGTGTTTGCTAAGTGATATATATCATGTTTGGACTGAAAAAAAGATTCAAGTTGAATATTCATCAGCAACCTCCTAAAAATAGTGGGGGGGGAGGAGTAGGATGGCCATCACAGAGGACAGTCCGGGTGTCCCCTGTCCTCTATTGACATGAAACCTGATGCCTTTATGTCCTCTATTTTTCTCTTGAAGAAAAATCTCCTCTTTCTGTTACCCAGGGGCTGTCATACCGGCAGCACGGTTGAAGAGAAAAACAGAGGAGGTAAAAGCGTCAGGTTTCGTATCGGTAGAGGGCAGAGTAGCAGAAAACCGGAACGCCCTCTACACGGTCACCCTGGCGGGGCAGAGAGAAGTGGCTGCATCTCTTTCCAAGTTTCTCGGTGTTATGAACAGGGCTCTCCCCCGCACGTTGGACGTGGGCCTATCCGACGAGGCCCCACAGGCCTGCGGCACGGACCGCGGCGCCCAGGCTGGGGGCGGGGCGGGGCGCGCTCCCTGCGGAGCGCAGAACAGGCAGAGCGCTTGCGCGCGGGGCGGCGTTCGGGGGGGGGGGGGCCCACCCCTGGGCAA